AATCGCCTGTAGCAGCAAGTATTTCGCCCATTTTGAATTTGAACTACATTTTATGAATTAGCATTCAACAAACAATTGACTGTCATAAATGCAAATGCAAATTTATGCAAACAGTCCTAATTAAATAATTTTTGCAATAGTAAATTTTATGACCTTTTTATTATCTATTAGAAAATAATAGGTTTTGTGTAAATAAATCGGATTTAGAACAGATTGGAAATGTATTTTGTTCAATGCGTGAAATTGAGGTGAAATTCGTGCATACTTACACTCAGAGAACATTGTGTTCTAAAAACAAATCCGACTTGGATTAAATTATTTACTTTTCGTTCTTAAAGTTTTAAAATGACTTCAGTCGCAAACGTTCTAAAAATATCAATAATCGTGTATTAATTTTCAAAAATTATTGATTTGGGCTTGATTTAAGTATAAAATTATTATTTTTTTTTAAGTACATATGTATGTATTTGTAGTTAGGTCGAAAGACAATTGCCAATTTCACGAAAACAATTTAAGTGAAAAATTATTTTATTTATGGAAATTGACAGCAAATAAAAAATCATTTTCCGTTTAAATTGCTGGTGAAACCGGCTGTTAGTCTCTCGTTTGTACAGCCCGCGACAAAACGATAGCACATCAACATTTTGAACGGTTTTGACAAGTACCCTATAAATGCAAGTTTCAGACTTTGTACCAAAGTTATACAAATTTCGCAAACTTTTCATCCCAACTCCAAGCAGTTTAATTTTAATTTCTAAAGTATTTTTGGTATGCATTTTTGTAGCATTTTAAATTCTAGTACAATGAAGAGGAAGTTGGACGTTGTGAGTCGCGTTGACTTTTGATAATTTTTTTTGCTGGCGGTATCACGCATTTTCTTCCATATAAAGTAATTTTTTATATGAAAAAAAGTGCATAAGACCGTCCGGAAAAAAATTATAAAAAATCAACGCGATTTCTTAGCAGCTTTCAATTTATAATAAGCTATAAAAGTACATACCAAACATTTATTTAAAAATAAATAACAGAAAGAGCGAAAGAAACAGAAAGAGCGAAAGAGACAGAAAGAGCGAAAGAGACAGAAAGAGCGAAAGAGACAGAAAGAGCGAAAGAGACA